GAAAGCAGCTTGTGAAAGAATAATTGTCCAAGGGAGATACAAATTTACTTCAGCAATGTTCAGTATGTGGATTCTGCCAGGCTTACTTGGGTGGTTTCTTTAAAAGTTAATACAGAAATTGGGTGGATTTTTTTGTAAGACTGTGCAGAAAAATTCATATGCTGTAGCTTTCCTAAGCTTTTGATGACTTGACAAGTAAAGAGAGATTTGCCTGGTAAAGTAACAGAAAATACAGATTGCACAGAACAAGGAATTATAGCCTGACTTTATTAGATGTTCATCTGAGTGCGAAGAGATAGTATCTAGTATGGGCAATGCATATCTCATCATTATTCTTAAGTCACAGTTTTTCAAGACTGTAAGTACTGAGGAGTCTTAATTTTCTAAGTATCTCTAGCTGTCTGTATCTCTTCATAAGAAGAAATGTTTTTTACTAACTTGCTTTTCACTGATCCTCTAATTCTTTGGTGTTTCCTTGGGCATCACTCTTTCTGGCTTACTATCTAATGAAGTATCATCAGTTCAGAAATGAAGGAAAATTATGAAATTATTAAATATATGCATTATTTATCTGTTGGTAGATTTCCTACGTTCAAAGGATTCCATATAGGGGCTACCTTGTCAGTTGTATCATTATAATGGCAGTATCATGTCCTGCTTAAGAGTTATCACATATAACGTTATGTTCATTTAAAAGCATAATTGGACTGTGGGTTTCCAGTCAGAGATGAGAAAAACAAGAATCAGCGTTGGGGACTATTGTGTTGTACAGAGTATCGCTCTAACTGAACCAGAGGGCTCCTACAGTTTCATTTGTTTCCGACTTTGTTTAAATGAAAGAAAAATGAAAAGAAAAAAAAAAGAAAAAGAAAAGCATGGCAAAAATGGAAAATTCTGTTGTTCTTTGAGATGTAAAGGTCTTGACTGATGTTGGAAAATGCTATGCCATATTTGAAGTCTGAAAGAAAAAAAATCAGTTATTCTGGTCTTCGGTCATATTTGGAACTTTTTGGTGATAGTTTACTGTTTATATATTGTACTTTTTTTTTTTTAATGTTAGAGTCTAGTCAGGCAAGAGAGGCAGACTGACTCTTGCTCTTTGGGTTGAGGGGGGATATGCCTGCTCCCCTGAATGCCAGGACATTAACTCAGCTTGGAGAAACTTCTTGACTCACTGACGGGGGCATCAATAGCCAGAAGGCTTTTTTAGCTAGTCAA